ATCAGGGAAGAATTCAAAGCCCCATAAACTTTCATTTTAACTTTAATTTTCTCTCCAGACAGGAGGGGCTTCCACTTGTTAAAAAAAAGCTAGCTAAGAATTCAAACTTGTGCTCAGAAACGCCTGCCTTTAGCCAAACCTTCCTGGAGGAAAGCACCTGAACAATTCATTAAGTATCATAAATCCCAGATATTACATATTTCTTAAAAACCAACAACCAAAAATGCCAACACATGGAACAGTTTATCTTCCAGACCTTTAGGAAAATGGAAACTATTTTCTCTAGTATGATTAGCATCAAGACAGAATCTACAACAGACTGTCAACATTGTAGAAGATACAGAACAAAAAGCACTGAAGCCTGAATATGATTAACTACTGTTGTTATACATCCATGATCAACTTTTTTAAAATAAAATATATAAAAAGACACTTAAAACTATAAATACTTACTGGAATGTGAATGGCTTCGCAAAGAACAAAAAAGAAAGCACAATTGTCATTGCTTTCCTTCCTGTTGTTACTGCAGAGGAAAACAGAAAATTATTTCTTTAAGAATCCACTGACAGCATAAGAATATAAGATGGTCTTTGATGTTAGTAGAGACCTTTACTACTTGGGGATCGTTAGGGATCTGCCTACACTCACTGTCATCCTTGGTACAAAGGCAAACTGTAAATGCACCTCTCCAGTGTAAAGTAACTCCAGAATCATGAATCAGGACAAGGGGAAATGGTTTCAAACTTAGCAAGGATAAATTTAGGTTGGATGTAAGGAAAACGACTCTGCAATAAGGGCAGTGAGGCACTGGAGCAGGCTGCCCAGAGATGGGGTGGATGCCCCTGGCTCTAAGTAACCTGATCTAACTGTGGATGCCCCTGTTCATTGCAAGGGAGCTAGACTAGATGACCTTTAAAGGGCCCTTCCAACTCTAGCAAGGATTGTATGATTCTATGTTACGCAAAACAAGTGCACCACCCAAATGGTAACATCTCTAGTCCCAGAATCTGCAGCACAGAAACTCCCAGAACAAGACTTTGTGTTTAATGGCTTCTCCCTAATCAATTCATAGTATCTGAAAGCAATGAACAATCCCTGCAAGTAACTGATCACGTGAACTAAAACCACTGGTCTGTTAGAGCTGAAAGAAGTGGGTTCAGGCCCAACAGGACTCGGACACTCCACATCTCTCACCATTCTCATGTGACTTTATCACAGTCCTGTGGTCTAGACTGTTGCTTTGGGCTTTATTTTTAAGTGGAATGAGAACAGCCATATTGTAATTCTTTTGAAGTTAATGCAATTTCAGTTATACAGCAGTGCAGAGCAATGTAACTTTGGCTAGGAGTCTCGAAGACTGAGGATGCCTGACTTCAATGACTGTGCATTAGTAAGCTTTCCTAAAATTCTTAAAAAGCCTTCTTCCACATGTGATCTCATCATTAGCAAAGACAAGGTTGTAGGAAAAGTTGGGAGCACAATTCTGCTAGCAAAACAGATGTGAACTGTTTGTCTTACTCTCTAACTATTACTTTGGATGGCTATTTGCAATGCCAAAGCTATATGCTATGGTTAAGAATGAAACGTTGCTAGTGAACTGCATACTTGAAAACATGCATCATTTATCACTGAAACATGCAAACAGTAAATGAGTAAAGGTATGATGAAAACCTTGCAAAACGTTAACAGTGCAGCCAGGTGTACAAATTCAGCTATGAAGGGACAGAGAAGGTGTTACATGACAGCACAGGCTTTTGTTTATTAAAGAATCTTGTACAATTGCCTGTACCAGAAGAAAACCAAGTTTTTTTTAGCAGCAGAAAATATTTCAAAAATATTCAAACCACAAAGTACTTTTTGCTGTAACAGACAAAAAATCTTCTCAGAACTACAGCCACATTACTACTAATATAACACCATGACAAAAAGAACCAATAATTATAGATATATTCTCATGCCTTTTTTTTGTCCACTAAACAAAGTTTCACCCCCCACACGCTTCTTCCATTAAATTTTTTCTCTTAAAAGCATATTTAGTACTGGAAGAAACAGCCTTCATCATTGCTTTATCTGCCCCAGCCTCAACCACTTGGTAGCAATTTCTATACATTTTAAGAAATTTATGCACATCAAAGAGAATGATTTTGTTACGTGAAAAATCAAGCGGGAATGAAAAAAAAAATTGAGTTTTAATTACAAAACAGTTTACAGATGAATAATTAAAAAAAACGGTTAAATTCAGTTTTTCTAATCATCATTACTTCTGCTCTTTCAAATCAGTTATTAATTAAAATATTTATGTAACCATTTCCTTCTAAATTAAGTGCCTTTTCTTCTTTTTCCCCGATTAAGTCTGATAATTTCTCATTCTGCTAATAGAAATGCAATTTTCATTAAACTCCACCACCCCACTCTCTCCAATAAGGGGGAGGGTTGACAGGGGGACAGTAACGAACGCAGCTGTTCTTCCAAGGCACAATAAACCTTTCCACATTGCTAAGGCCAACACAGAAAGGGTTCAAGTGTTAGGATTGTCAAGTCAGACACAAGGAAATCTGGGAAGGTTTTGCTATTCCACAGCACTCTTAAGCAATTTTTACCACAGGTAGATACTACTTCTAAAATTCTTTAAGAGCTGCTTTAACACATGAACCAAGCCTCTTACTGGGCCAACATTCAGCCATTAGATGCACTAAACTTCAATAAAAACAAATACGGTAGTGCTACAGAGAAGAATTAATAGAAAATCAGAGCATGCAGTTTTCAGGCCAGAAAATAACTGTTTGTATCTTCCTCTCCGCTAATGCAAATGAAGTAGAGCGTTACCTGACAGAAACCAGCTTTTGGGGGGAGAGGGAGGAGAGCAAAGTAGTTCCATGGCATCTTGCTACACCTCCCCACCCCAGTCCCTTGTGACTGATGTTTGAAGTTTTAAGAAAAGGTAACCTGAGGAAGGAACGATCCTGATGTAACCATTCTTGACAGAGTGCTGTAACAACCACACATGCAACAAGAGAAGCTAGATAGGCCAAGGCCTATTTTTTGGAAAATTCACAGGTGATTTTTTTTAAATTTGGAAGCAACAGTGCTGTTCAGGCAAACAATTCACTGTTCCAGCAGTAAGTAAACTGCACTTAGTAAAGAGCAATAATTTTAGGTAGTCTGAAAGCAGACACACAGAGAGATGCTGAAAAACTATGAAGCTCCTTAAGACTTTTCCTTCAGTGTTGTGAGATACATTGAAAATGTTAACATGACAATTAACTACTGCTAAAATTAACAGCGAGGTCATTTCTGCTTATCCTGACAGTGAGGATATTCCAGTATGTAAGCACTTCAGCTGACTGTTTGCAAACTCACTGTGATACAAGTTGAAAACACTCATTCACTTGCAATAACCACATCATTTTGCTGTAGCTTTGCTACACTCAGGTAGCAAGCATCTCATGCTAAGATTTGTCAAAGCTTGGCAGAGACAGATGCAACACACAACAGACTAATGCAAACAATTTCTTTTACTTGTCTTATCAGCAGTTTCTTTGATTTAACTACATATTGTTCCTCCTTTAAGGATCTTAGGTAGACAAAGTTATCAATAAGCTCACTTCTTTCTAGGAAGCAATACAGTTGGCCTTCAAAATGGAATATGCTTAACACTTTTCCATTGTTTCTAAGGCATACATATCATCCAACATATTTATAAAGACCACATACAACTAGATGACATTACTTGCCAGTGCAGTGCTAAGACTGGTACTAGCTGTCTACTCACTCATACAGAGCCTGACAATTTTAACTGTTAAGATTTCAGACTCTCTACGTGACTTTTCCAGATGACTGATTACTCAAGATGAAGGTTATGCCCAGTTACAGATGGGCTAAGAGTCAAGTCTGACAACCTATGGAGATTGAAAATCTATAAGGGTTGTGACTGCCTCTCCTTTCAAGTCCACTTTTTCCTCAGCAATGGGGATACATACCTGGGGATTGTCAGCACAGATAGGTCTGACTTGCATTTACTCACAGAAAAATACTGAAGTCAGAGCATCACATCACAACTTTTTAATTGCACTGTGAATTGAACTGTTGCAAGAACAGGTACAGTGGCATTCAGTGACTTTCTTAACTTGGAGAGGACTACAGTAGCCTTTAACATACTTGAGAGATTCATTTTGTTATACAGACAACATGCAGCTGGTCACACTGGTGATTGGGAAAAATGTTTTCAATATATTACTGACACCTTACATTTGTATTTCACATCTTTTTTTTCTTGACATAGTTGATATATGCTGCATTAAGACTCAACAGAAAATACGACCACTTCCTTTTTTGGGCCAATTGCTGTGTAAGCCTAAAACAACCAAAAGGCCAGACAGCCTGCTTCTGCCATTAACATTACAGTCCAGGACAAGTCTGTTTAGTTTACACCTTAACTTCCAAAACAAATACTCTTCATTGCATTCCATTTAATGAAAAACTGAATAAACTGTCACAGGAGTCAGAATTTGTTCCATTTGAGTTTATTTTGCTCCAGCAGCATTCCATTAAAAATGTGTGGATATTCACAAAATCTTCAGTGAAATCCTTCATACCTTTCCTAACAACATTTTTTGTTGGAAATCTCCAGAAATTCTATGCTTAAGGTGTCTGCATGCCTTACTTGAATATGTTTTTCTTCCATGCTTCAAGTAACACTCGTCTTTTCCTTATGTCTTGGCTGCATTCCTCCGTTTAGAATAGTGCTGTTTCTGTACTAAAACAGCATAGGCCACCTGCACAGTGCTACTTAATATGCTCTGCTATGTTGAAACTGTAGCAGAAAAAGGAGGAGGAAGTTCCCAAATATACACCAGAAATATGCATACTAAACAAACCAGCATCATCAGCACAAACAAGAAAAAAAGGCCAGAGAAACAACAATTCTCAGAAGCTGTCCTAAATAACAAAATACTTCAAGTTTTTATCCCAAAAGCAGCAAAGATATCATTTGTTCATACCTGTTACAGCCAGAAGGGCACCAAAGATTTTAATCAAAGCTAGAACAAAGGATATGCCAAAATATCCAGTCAGGGAGAAAAGGAATGCATAACCATAAGTCTGAATTGGATGCTGCAACAACAACAAAAGCCTGTTAGGAAAATGTAAAACAAACCCTGAGGTATTAAAAAATGACAAAACTACAGACTTTAATCAACTGCTTGAACAATAATAAGCTGTTCAAGAATGCGTTCATGCAAATATCCTTATTTAATTTTAGTTAAATAAGAGAAGAATAATTATGAAATTATAAGCTTATAAGTTTGGTCTTGTAATTTCATTGTTCTTGTTTTTTAAACATTATCACATTATCTTGTACAATAAAGACTGTAACAACATATTTAATGCATGAAATACACAAGTCAACCAGGTTACACGACGAAAGCATAACATTAGAGAAATGGTGAGACTTTCTAAACTAAACAGCAATGTTTTCTATTGAGGTTATTTGCAGAAAAAAAAAAAAAAAAAAAAAAAAAGGAAATTTGTACACCTACCTGTGAGCAAAATGCTACTGCAGGGCTTAATCCACTAGTGCAAGTTAATCCAAATAAAATATACAGAAAACCTATTGAGTAAGAGTACAAAACCTACAAGAGTTTAAAAGAAAACAATTACCAGGTGACATCATATTCACAGGGTCATATGTTTGAAAGCATTTAATTTTCTACTTCAATATTTTTAGTTTCTGAGATGGATTTGTAGTGTTGAAGATATTTTTACTAGTATTCCTGTAGCAGCTTATGTGTAAAGAAAAATGAATAATAAGCATTAAACATTCTTCCTACCCACAACTACATGAAAAAGTTTTGTAAGCTAGACAGTTAATATCCTGAAGTCAATGCTGACTGAAATCCTCCACGTTCAGAATTTCTCAGTCCAAATAAAGCTTCTGAAGACTACATAATTAGCTTGAATAATACGCCAAAGACAGAGAGATTACTGCTATTTATTGTACACATTAAGAAGCTTTTTACATTAAATGTGCACTTAATCACCATGAGCTGCCACAGCACGTGTCACAAAGTGTCACCTGTGTCACTTCAGTTCACCTACACCATTATAGCTATAGGATACCAAATCTTGACCTATGATTAGCTCTGGCCTAGTTCAGAAGCTGGAGCTGCCCTTCTGTGTACGCACTGGTGTGGAGGGAAGCAACTGCTGTTAGTGGCCTGAGTGGCCCTTTCCCTCAAGAAAGGGAGACAGCAAACAAAACTATTTCACATGTTACCAACTAGAAAACACTGACTTGGCACACTTTCAATTGTATCAATTGTAGACATGCTTCCTCTGGCAAGGGCTTTATCAGTTGTTTCCTTGCTGTAGTATCTCAATTATTTGCAAAAACGAGCATATTAACAACTGATAATGCCACAAGATGATAAAACACCACTGCTCTACGGATCAGCATAAGTTTCAATAGCAGAACTACTTTCAATCTCTTAAAAAACAGACTGATATGCAGAACTCTAATTCTGCACAGTGCTTATACACACAAAAGTTAGGCTCTAATTCTTTGCCTTTGCAACTATCCAGCTTTTTTCCCTGATTTATGATCTTATTTCTTAGAACAAGGACTCAATAACATGTAGCTAGTTCCTCATAAGGAAGTGGGAAATAAGTTTTTCTTAGAGTCAAATATAAGGCAAAAATCAGACGTAGTAACCAATCTTCTGGAAAATGATTTTATCTACAAGACATCTTTTCTCTTTTCACAACTGCTTAATCAAGAGTGAGCTCCAACTTCTGCAAGAGATCCCATGGATGACACATTCCTTCACTACCCAACTGTATTTTGGGATCACTGCTCATTAAACCTGCTCCCTGAAAGGACCTCTTAATCCTCACTCACGATCTCAAGTCTAGAAAGATGATTTCTGAAATGGTCTGCATTTCTGCACTGAATTCTCTGAAAAGAATCCAAGAATACAGTATCTAGGCTCAAACTAACAAAGCCTTTAATGATCTTAATCACCACACTGATTTTCTGTAAGTGGAAGAAAATACCAGGACCAACATCTGTCCATCTAATACAGAATGAAAAGCAAAGTTTTGGCCCCCAACAGAAGAAGGACATTGGAGCAGGTCCAAAGGAGGGGCACAAAGATGATCAGAGGGCTGGAGAAACTCCACTATGAAGACAGGCTGAGACAGCTGGGGCTCTTCAGCCTGGAGAAGTCTACAGGGGGACTGTTATAGTGGCCTTCCAGTACCTGAATGGAGCCTACAAGGAAGCTGAAGAGGGACTTTTTATAAGGGTATATAGAGACAGGATAAGGGAAAATGGCTTTAAACTGGAAGAGGGGAGATTTAGACTAGATATTAGGAATAAATTCTTTACAGTGAGGGCAGTAAGACACTGAACTCATTGCCTATAGAGGCTGTAAATGCCCCCTCTCTGGAAGCATTCAAGGCCAGGCAGGATGGGGCTTTGAGCATCCTGGTTTAGAGGGAGGTGTCCCTGTCTAAAGCAGGGGGTTAGAACTGCATGATCTTAAGTGTCCCTTCCAACCCAAGCCATTCTATGATTCTGTGGTTTTTGTCACTCCGATATACATTTGAAATTGGATACAGAAAACAGCACTTGAATAAAAAGCCTCCATAAAAGAAAAAAAACAAACAAACCCCAAACCAAACAACCCCAGAAAAAACAACAACAACAACAACAAAAACAGAAAAAAAAACAAAAAAAACAAGGATGCATACACAAAAAGTAACTGTTCACATATCAAAGAGAAAAGCAGGTATAACTTCTTGTTTTGTCATTGCATACAAAACATGTTTCAAAATTGCAAAGGATGTTAATTCTGTATTAATTCAGTCTTTACCCTGCCCAGATAACAATATCAGTCGGATTATTTAAATAATCTTGAACTTTGTGTGACAGAACACTAAATGAGAAACTAATATTTACCATTTCTGAATTAGAACCATTGTGCAACTTCATTGCTTTTTCCTGTACGTTTCCTATAACTGCATCTGCACAGAGTGCAAGGGATATTAGGACCACACCTAATAAAAGAAAAACAAAAACCTCTTTAGAATATTTATCATCAAAGCAGAGCAGTGATAAAAATCACTCTGTACTTATCCTGAAAAAGCTCAGAAACAGCAAACCAGTAATAAAAAAATACCATCTCAAATCCATACCTGACAAGCTCAAAGAGGGAAGATTTAGGTTGGATGTCAGGGGGAAGTTCTTTACTATGAGAGTGGTGAGGTGCTGGAACAGGCTGCCCAGAAAGGCTGTGGATGCCCCATCCCTGGGGCCAGGTTGGATGGGGCCCTGGGCAGCCTGCTCTAGTATGAGATCTGGAGGTTGGTGGCCCTGCCCTGCCTGTGGTAAGGGCTTGAATCTTGATGATCCTTGAGGTACCTTCCAACCCTGTTGTAGGCGTAGAAGGCAATGCAACACAACCCAAGCTGTTCTATGATTCTATGTTATCTCCAAATGTTAGCAAATTTCATTATACTAACAAAAGATTTAACAAATCTGTAAATCAGTGTCCACTCCCACTCCTCCCAACAGCCAAGCTCTAAGCTCTGTCTGCCTCTAGGCTTGATAGGAGTATCTGGTTATTGCTATAAAATAGAAAGCTCTAATTTTCTTGTATTAAAAACAGTGAAAGTACATCAACTGCATTTATTTAGGTATTTTTTTAATAAATAATCAAATAACATTCTTTTTAGAAGTTAGCCCTATTATTTCCCCTGAAAAAAGGAAATGTTAGACGTAGTGATAAGAAAAATGCAAGAGGATTCACTGTGACAGTCCTTCATTGCTGAAATAACCCATTTTTAAAAAGTACTGTTCAGGTATAGACCCTGTGGTTTAATGGTATATACCTGGTCACAACAAAGTTATTACAGAATCAATACTGTCATCAGCTTTCCAGTCTGCAAAAGACTAAACTGTATCTGACATTATAGTCTAGAATGGAGAAATCTGCACAGAAGTAGTTCTTTTCCACTGTTTCCTTGCTACAAATAACAGGTAATTTCCACTTATATCCACTTATATATACTGTGGAAATATATTTCCATAGACTGAACTGTGGAAGTTTCAGTAGCATCAATGTTTCAAGATTGTCTCCCTGGGCACATTTTTCCCCTCCACTTTGTCTTCTGGACGCTCTCTATTATTTGTAACTGTTTAGGTTATCTACCTCCCTAATTTAGCAATGCTAGGAAATTTTTTGAGCTCTTATTACCATCTCTATGTTGAAAAATATATTTCTTCCTTAGTTACAAATATGTACCTGTTCTGGCAGAAGACAGTTTTTGTTTTCTTTGCTGGACTCTTTCACGTGTAAAGAAAACCTTTTATGACCCAGCAATACTGAAGCTGGGATCCAATAACAGGAAAACAAATCAAAACAAAACAAGAAAATAAACAACTTGTAAAATTCTTGAAGGTATGACATGGGCAAAACTTACATTTGCTCATGCTTTACTTTAGTGTTTGCACTGGACAAAGACGATGCATTCTACGAGTGTAAATAAAACACAACAGACAAGAAGGAATAGAAAAGTGCAGGATGTACCTCCCTCAAAGGCGAGCAGTAGAATTTTGAATTACCTTATTAAGGGAAGACCCAGAGTTTTGAATTCAAAGTCTACATTCTATTTTCGTAGAACTGATGTCCTGCAAATCATTGTGCTCTAAAGTTCAATATATACAGAATCATTTGATAAGTATAAAAGAAACTGATAGACAACACTGTTTATTCTCTGAAGGTTTAGAAGCAGTTGTCTAGAACTGCTGTAAAAGTAGAATGTCTCTGTACTTCACAGAACACTGGACTATAATCACATGCATATCACCTTCTTACACTCAAAATAAGGATATTTTGTCTAAGTGGACACCCAATTGCACCACAAACACATGAATGCACAGCAGGTTATATGACTGAGTGACTTAAAAAAGCAAGTCTTCCATTACCAGTAGCACTAAAATTGTCACACTACCTAACATGTAAGCAAGGCAAAAAATATAGTTCAAACAACACCTTTCCATTTGACCATCAACAACACTAGATGAAATAATGTTCTCCTAGAATGAAAAGCCTTTATTTGAAATATTTATTACACAAATTTATATTATTAACTAAAAATATTAATATTTTTTATGAACAGAACTTATAAATTAATGTTTTCACTGCTGAGAAATAAAAGTTCCACAGTGAACATTTCTAATAATCAGGAATCAGAAATAACCAATTCTCCCCTCTCATCTGCAATACATTTTCAATTAAGTTTTTAAACATAAGAATGTTTTAGTTATTTCTGATTTCACGTAGCATGCAAAAATTCACAATGCCTACACTCTAAGAGTGAAATCATCAATCAATACAAAGGTTCTGAAATGTAACAAGACTGAAAGGTTGAACTGGAAAAGACAGACTTCAGCCATTTTAAAATCCTCAGACTAAATTTTTATCCTATTTATTGTAAGGCATTCACAGGGAAGTAAATCACATCCTTGTTCTCAAGAAATACATTTCAACACAAAGGGTGGTTATTTCCCTAAGCTTTAAGACCCTAAAAAACTAAGGCTTGGAGTAAATATCTCTACTGCCACAGAAACATTTCTGCCAGTACAAAGAAAAAAACCCTGTCTTTTCAGTAGGATACATGAGGCACTACACCAAAAACTCTTAAAACTTTTATGGAACCCTTACAGTAGGAAAAGTCTGCATTTTATTATACTAGAAAAATATATCTTTACCTGTCAAGTTGAAGTTTGGTGCAACTGTGCTGTCAGCTAAAGTAAACCATATTAATCCAAGACTCATACACAGGGCAGCAGACACATCTGCAATGTTGTAACGTTTTCCTGCAAAAGCAATAAAAACAACACGAATGAGACTCTAACACTGTCAGCATTCTGTGTTTACTCTGTCAGCAGACTAGAAGGCAAAGGAAAAACTGTTTAGTTGTCCTTCACTTCAACAGAAGACTTAATGCTCCAGCCTTTAGCAACTGAAACCAGTTTCTTCAATAGCAGCAGTTCCTAAAGCAGAGAAGGATCTTAACAGATTATTATCTGATTCTTGTGATTGATATTGATTTTTACTCCTTAGACACATCCTCCCTAACAAATCACCATCTGAGTGTATTCAGGAGAATCTGGATATTTTCTTAATTTTTCTCTTATTCAAGAGACTTCAGCTGCCTTTATTGTTTAGAGAAAAGTCATTCCCAAACACCAACAGATGATTTGGGAACTTTTAAAACCCTACTGCCTTCTAGTTTGAGAGGATGTAAAGCAGAAGCGGAGAAAGAGAGCAGGGAAATAAAAATATGTATATTGTTGCTTGGATAAAATTATCCAACAATATTTGCTGGCCTGGAGCGCTATACAAGCTCAGTCTATTGCAACTTTAACATCAAAAACTAACAGAAAGTATAACTATTGACAGCGCTCCATACCATTTTCATGTGCAGAACTTAAATGACTCAATGAGTCCTTGTGTACCAAAGAAACATTAACTTTTCATAATGCACTTAAACCTACTAACTCCAGAAACACTGGCATTTATTCACATAACTACAGTCTTCATCCACTGTACTCCAGATCCCTTTTATTGTTCTTCAGATACACACAATGATTTTGGGATTAGCCAAAGATACAGAAGTCAGAGATACATCCAATTAAATCCTTTTACTTTGAACAATAAATATGATACAACTTACAAATTAAGATTTCCAAACAAAAAGAGTAGATTTCTTCACAAATCATTAAATCCTAGTTTATTTTTTTTTTCCATGCCAGCACTGAAAATGGTTCTCATTTATGAAGTGTTTTTGTTTAGAGAAAATAACACTGATTTTAAAAGCCTTCGTAAAACCGAAATTTTGCAAGTAACCCATACAACTTCTTTTTTTCACCTTCTCTGAGAAGATGCTTCAGAAATCTACATTTTACCTCCTATAGGAGAAATGGTACCTGTTCCTCTCTAGGCAGCAGGATTTAGCAAAGTACAGGATTCCGAACACGACTGCAACCTAAAAGATAAATAAATAAGAAAACAGCAAGACCAATACTTACCTTGTATAAAAACCCCGCCTACCATAACTGGAATCAGTTTACAGCACTTGAAGATGACTTGAGTAGGGTAATTAAGATATCCTAAAGAGGTATTTGACAAGCCCATTGTTCCCACTGTTAAAAAGGCTATTATCATGTAGGTTTTGCCAGGAATTCTACAAAATATAAACATAAGAATGTTGGTATTGCAGACGCATTTAGAGGAGACTTAGCTTAGAAAATTTATGTTAAGGAATACGTTCATAATAGAACTTGATCATTTTTCTCACTCATTTTTGTTCCATAACAGAAATTTTAAAATGCACATAAAAGACTGGTTTCAAACTTCTGCTCTCAATTACTACCAGTACATTCTGTTCAAATGGAAGACACAAACTTCATGGCTCAAAGTGTCCAAACAAGAATGTTTTAACCTCCTTCTGAGAAAGTATATCACACAAGAAACAAGACAAAGGCTCTAGGTTTTTTGTCAAGGAAACACAAAAGGTCAGCACACCTAGATAACCTGAATCTTAGTCTTTTCATTGTCATCTTAGTCTGTTCATTGTCAGTGTCAGTTTGTCTAAGGTTTCATATTAACACTGATGGCCTAAGAAAGAAGAATATAGAAAAAGTACCGGTGAAAAACTCAACAGAAATAAAAGGGAATTCAGATGCTACAAAAGGAGATCCTCCTCGAGTATTTTCAGGTTTGTTCTTTTCAATTTGATGAAATGATCATCTGATAACAGATGATCCAGCACTAGCTTTTACCAATCACTGGGTTCACGTGGTGATTTTTCAGTGTTAACTGTTGTGCATGTGTTCTACTATTGCCTATGCACACTCAGAGGCACGGTTAGCAACATAAGGAGATGTCCTGCGGTAACGCTGCCTGATCCATAACTCATCATATGATGCAGGCATACTCACTAACAAACAATTTCTGTAATAAAATTTAAGAGTGAATACGGACTAAAAATTAGGAAACAGATTTTTAATGTCTGCAAGAAGTTACCTGGGTTACATAAAACAAAAGGTAAAAATATATGGAGGAGCTACACTTCCAACTGAACTCACTTACTAAGGCAAGGACTATAAGCAATACCAAATATTTTGGCAATGAAAACATAAATACTAGTTAACACAGTGTCTACCAGGTAACTACACATTATCTGATGCATGCCTGAAAGCCACCTACCTCAAAACGTTCTCAGTTACATTGGTTATAAAATAATACTGTTACCTAAAAGCAGTATACAAGAAGTCAGCCAACGATGACTATGTCTAAGCAATGATGCTTATGCTCAACTAGGAAGTCATGTTCTAATGCACTTTTAACATTTGCATACATGACAGAATGCTTCAATGTGCAAACTGCAGAGGCTGCACTTGGGCAGGGAGCCGCAGAACAGACCCATATCAATATATCCCATACGCTCAGGATTCAAGACTGCAAGAATCTCCGGGGTTTAATGCAGTGAAGTGCACTCGGGGTATTCCAGACACGACAGTACCAAGCAGCACAGCCAGTCTGTGTCAATTCACTTTCAGATTGAATAAGCTCCACAAATGGGACAAAGCAACAGTACAAGACCATTTAAAGGCCTGGTTCTAAGAGGATGCTTACAAAATATCTTCCAATGCTACCCTTTGAGTTCAGATGATTGTTATCATGAATCTACTAACAATGCCTCAACACATTCACAATGATGCAACAGAAGATAAATTTACCATAAGCATCAAAACGTTTCTTTTTTTGACTGATAGCATGCAAAATGTTTGGAAAAAAAAACAACACATACCTTCTCCTTTTGTCCTGAATCAACTGCAATTCTATTAGTCCAAAAACGGAATAAAATCCAAATTGCACTAAAGTGAGGTACCAACCAAAAGGTTTAAAACCTTCCACTGAAAATATCAATTCCTATAAAAACAAAACCCCACCAAGGTCACATACATACACCAAAACATGTTCAAAATACTATTTTTTCTCTTCATGTACATGCAAATCCAGCCCTTGCTAGAATTAACTAGAATTCACTTGGCATGCACAACTTGCACAGTACTGAAGAAGACCATTTAGTTCCTCCAAAATGCAATAAGAAAATGTACTGCTGGTTTAAATCCACTGAAATTAATGGATCAATTCATCAGGGGAATACATCTGATCCATGGAGATTTAGCTCAAATTACAGATGGTTTTCAGTCTGCTTTCCAGTTCATTTACTTGAGCAGATTCTTTTTAGTAAGATTTTGTAAATAGCTCAAAATAAATTAAATACATATTTCCACTAAGAGACACATTTACTAGTAATTCTCATTATTTTGGATCATGGATCTAAAACTCTGAGTGCCTAAATTAACAGAACTTGTAAGCTTGTCAACTTGTGAGCTGCAGGGACAATTCACAATGGAAAAACACAAGCACTGCATAAAGAATTGCATGTGTGTCAGTTATAGGTAGATAGGGCAGCTAGAACAAGAGTTATAAAAAAAAAAAAAAAAGCTGCTTAATATTTACCCTATTGAGATTGAGATTCTGCTCTTATTTATTGATAATTGTCTAACTTTGGAAGTTCTATAGTAACTTTTTCAGTTAAACAATCTTTCTAGGTGTTTTGGAAAGCCACACCAAGAACATGATTTGAGACCTTTTCAGTCATTGCTTTATTGAGAAGACTCAGTTGAGCAGAAATATAACCAGCCAAGATAGAAGCAAAAAGGCTGTCAGGAAGAGGAATTCTTAATGAAAATAATAAAATACCTAGCATTTCCCTGCACACCATGCTTCTGTTTAACAAATAACCATAACATATACTTCAGCCTTGTCCTGAACGATGAGCAGAGAGAACAGACTTGTTGATGTACTGCAGTCACTGGACTCAAGTGGATATGGAGGTGAAACTCAATGTCAGGAGAGCTTTCCCCTGAGAGTGGTGAGTGCTGAAGCAGGCTGCCCAGAGAGGTTGTGGGTGCCCCAGCCCTGGAGGCATTCAAGCCCAGGTTGGCTGGGGCCCAGGACAGCCTGGTCTAGTACTTAATCCAGCAGCTGCCAACCCTGCCTGTGGCTCAGAGCTTAGAACTTGTTGATCCTTGAGGTCCTTTCCAATCCAAGCCATTCTATGTCAGTCTCAATGGTTCTAAAATTTATTTTTAGAAGACTATAAAATCACATATCAAAACATACATTAAGAACAATTATGTATTACACAGTATGTCTCGAGCACAGAAATAAAAAACAAATGATTAAAATGAACTGAGCCAAACCTCAACCCCATGTGATTTTTGTAGAATGTTAGATTCTAACTGCTTATTGCTCTTAAATTCTAAGAGCTTGATTTTACAGTGAATTTCTATTTTATGTCTATACATATTAAAATAGTAGCAGATTACTACTCTAAAGAATTTCGTTTAAAAAGGGAGAAGTACAATAAGACACAAATTCATAGCATTTACCTGTAAATATCCATAGATCAGATAAAACATAAAAACTCCAGAAACACAGATGAAAAATTGAGCAGGCTTGTTAAATTTGCTAAGATTAATGCCAAGAACTATAACATCATCTACTGATTTGATATGGGGTGACATAGTCTGAGATTTGGAAGGTACACTGATGGAAACGTGTTTTCTTGTTGAAGTGAATTTCAGATCCATGACTCCACGTTCGCTGCATTCGGTGCTGCTGTTATCTTCTCTCTGTCCTTTTTCCTCGTGTCCTCTGACTGAAAGCTGAAAGAAAGAGTCAGGTAAGACATAATATATAGCTTTCCAACAGTAACACTAAACAAGTGTGAAATTTACACGGAACATACAAAGGTCTGAGAATTTTGCTGGATTATTTTACTTGCAGCACAGAAAACAAGCATCACTTGCAGAGTATTTCAAACTGGCCTTTTTATACCAGTTGCTGCTTAGCCAAAGAATGATTCCCATGATCAAATCCCAGTGAAAACACTGGTATGGAGGCACTGCTGTTCTGCCAAGTTGACTTCATTTTCACAAGGAAATAGAGCAGACTAGTCCATTAGCTGTGAGAATTGGCTAAAAGCTACAGATGTGAGATGGTGATTGGCTACGTGTTGAAGTGAAAGACATCATTCCTTAATTGTCATGTTTACACGCTATTTCTTACACACTCCTCAGGAAAAGAACTTGAAGATTAAAACAAGAAGAAAAAGAAGAGAGTCTCAAAAATGAACCTGGTTTTCTGACTAACTATACACTATTGGCAATCCATTGAATATTAAGCGCATGCAGCCATTTCTACATGTAATAGAAAACAAAATTTGATAAGGGAAGTCTGGAGAATGAAGTTAGCAACTTACTAGACTGACAGGCAAACAATTTTTAATTCCAAGTTCAGGACAGATTGTGACTTTTGAGACTTCTCTTGTTCTCAGCCTCAAAAATAAGCACATTGGTCCATTAGTAGTTACCCAAATTTTAAGCATAGTTGAGACTCTAGTTCAGACAGCAGTCCATAATCAAATTAAATTGCTCTCAACTATTTAATTGGTTGCAATCCTCTCCTTAAAAATACCCATCACTATACATCAATGAAAAATAGTCTTCCCATCATTTGCAAATCTGCAAATGGAAAATGTGCTAGCATATGAAGATCAGTGTAGTAAACATAACCTGCACTGACTTCAACAATTATGCAATATAAGAAATGACAAGTTTAGTTCAAAAAGGAATCTGAGCCTCATTTTTCATCTGAATGGGGAAACAGAGACTGATGTACACCCAGCACAATGCATAGCCATACACTGCCAAGCATACTTCACAAATTCAGCAACAGGGAAGAGCGTACAAGGCAGTTTTGTATCTAAATTTCCCCCTCTAGCTACTAACTTAGACATTATTTGTGGAAGACATGCAAAAGAAATAGAACATTACAGTCAGATCAGAAAGAGTAAGGGTATAAAAAGGCAGAAAGAAGTGTACTTATTAACATAATTCTGACTTCTCAGCTATTCATACACAAAGTCTTTCCTTAGCAACAACACTAGCTTTTACGAACTGACAATTTAATTTATTACAGATTCTAGCAGTAAAACAATAGTAACACTGTTAGCTCCAGTCATACCCAAGGGCATCTATAAGATGATGCACAATAATTTAAACAGAATCACAGAATGGCTTGGGTTGGAAGGGACCTCAAGGATCATGAATCTCCAACCCCATGCCACATGCAGGGCCATCAATTTCCACATCCAATACCAGACCAGGCTGCTCAGGGCCCCATCCAATCTGGCCCTGAACACCTGCAGGGATGGATGGGGCATCCACAAACTCTCTGGGCAGCTGTTCCAGCACCTCACCACTTTCTCTGTAAAGAACTTCCCCCTGACATCCAACCTAAATCTTCCCTCCCTCAACATAAAACCATTTCCCCCTGTCCTGCTGTTATCTACCCTTGTAAAGAGTTGACTCCCCTCCTGTTTATAGACGCCCTTTAGGTACTGAAAGGCTGCAATGAGTTCAGCCTGCAGCCCTCTCTTCTCCAGGCTGAACAAGCCCAGCTCCCTCAAGGCACGTTATTTAGTGACTGGAGAAGCAGTGAGTGTACGCATTTGTTTGAAACACTCTCCATGGAGCAATCTCATTAGCAACAGTACTGGAATTCTCCTGAAGTCTAGTGTGACTTTTCAACTGTTATTTTTCTATGTATCAAAAGCACTACTAATCTTCTTCTCTGGAAAAATTCCCTCAAGGAATGAATGTGACATGTGTAAAACAGCATGTTTCCCTATCTTTTTCTTCATCAGTGTAGGAATGTAAATAATACCCACTTTAAAGCAAGGATACATTCTATTCGTAATCTTCTGGGGAAAAAATGCCCCATTCAGTGTAGGATTTCAACACTTCACACAAGTAACGTTGAGTGATTACAGCACGAAAAAGAGGAAATAAAGGCGCAATTGGAAAGGCAACGTTTCTTCGGCTTCTGAAAAGCTCCTGACTTGTAACACTCACGGAAAAAACACCAGTTCGGCAGAAACTGGCATCTCAGTACTCTTCTAACAAGACCGGGGCCAACACGACCCTCACAGAGCAGCGTCCCTACCCGAGCACCGTCTCCAGGCGGGGCCACGAGCGGAGCTCCCGAGCAGCGACAGGCCGGCCCTCGCGCCACGGAGATTCTCACTGCTGACAGGACCAACACCGCCCCCTTCTTCCCGCGCTCCCGGCTCGCTCCGCGCCACCCACGCTCCTCACCGTCGCGCTCAGCCCCGCTCGCTCGCACCGCGTACCTGCGTGGAAAGGGAGGAGGCCGGCTGGACCGGAAGCACCACCGTTATCCCGCTCGCCCCCTCCCGCAGCGCACCGCGCACACCGGAAGTGGCGGTGGCGCCAGGGCACGGCGCGAGCGCCGATCGCACAGAGCCGCGTGCTCGGCGCTGTGCTGCTCATCCTGAGGCGGCGGCGCTGTGCCCGTTCGGAGCGGTGCGAAAGGCGGGAGTTCCGTCGCTGCCGGCGGCTCTTACGTGTGAAAGCGAGTTTTAAATGGAGTGGTCGAGTGGCGCTGGGAGGAGGCTGTGTGTGAAAGTGGAGCGTGGAAACCAAAGTAGCTGCAGCCGTCAAGAGTTTCTGCTCTGCCCTTTCCCTGCGAGACCGCGGGGGGAGAACAATAAAAATGTTTAATAACGACTTGCAAAAGGCGAATGAGAGCAGTGACAGCAAAGTGCATAGGAAATATAGCAGCACAGAGAACGCAAGAATCAGGTAAAAAGCTTAGAAAGGGAAGACAGCTAAGGACTATGCAGTAGTTAGGTGTTACTTCAAACGTGGGGGTTGTTCCAATAGTAATGCCTCCTGTTTATCTGCATGGAATCTGCACAGATGCAAAGACCACGGTAACACCATTTGATAGAGTGGATTCTCAGCTATAAAACACTACTTTTAAACATAGCCACCATCACCAGCACTGCATTTTCACCCACCGTGAACAAGAGCCTGCGTGCCATGTTGGTAATCACCTGCACCAGTGGAGGAGACCCACTGTTGCTATTTCCACTGCTGAAACGCACCACCCACCACCTCACTGTGCTCACCTCCACTCTTTGGTCTCCATCAACATTCAGCAAACATCAATGATTGTCAATGGGTGTCACTTTTTCCACATGGAGAAATTCAGTGACACACCTTTGCTTCATACGCGCTTCCATATCAGGCACCATTTTGTCAGACTGCCCCTCTGCTGCCATCTGTCACACAGCAACAACATGGACTGGTGGGAAGGTTCAGCCTCTGCTGCCATACCACCAGCATCTGCCTCTGACGTCATGGGCCAAGAAAATAAAAAGGGAGGCATTACTTCCGGATCAGCCCTTGATGCATAAACTTATTAATCACATGGCACTGTAAAATGGAAATACTCTGCAAAATGCTTGCCAAACCAGTGCTTTTTGATTTGGTTTTTTTTTTTAATCTGGATTATTTCCCACTTACCAAATGATGACACTTTTGTGTGACACTTTTCTGTGAAAGAAGAAAATAAATATAAGCTTGCACTTTTTTTAGCTTCCTTTAAGTAAGTTTTCTAAACATGTCATCTGTAATAAACTTTATTATTATGGATGTTAACAAAGTGATTACTTATCTATGCTTTTTTGTTTTTTTTTTCTCCAGGTGGGAAGTAGATAGAGCAGTAACAGCAAAGCTCGCTCTCACCTTTGTGATGCTTGGCAGCAAGTTAAAATATATAGGTGGCAAGATTTAAACCCAGTCCTGAAGAACCTGGATGTCTCAGTGGAAGCCAGCAGGTAGGAGGAAAATTCAAATCATGCCACTAATTGAGGCTGGCTAAGTAACCTGTAATGGGAATGAAGGGCTTGGGGCCATTGACAAGGAGGAGTGCTGAGGAGAGGCACACGGACAAATGTAGTTCTGATGTTTCTCACATTTGAGAATTTGAAGTCTTGTTGCTATAGCTATACTATTTTATTCAGAAATATGTAAATTAGTCTGCTTGATTTTGTCTCAGAAGGGCTTTTGTCTGTGTTTAAAGAACATACATTTTTTCATTTGCAGTGCATTTTTCTATTTCTGTTATCTATATTCCATTATTCAAACTGCAAAAACTGTGGAGTAGAGTGAATGCTGGAGAATGTTCTCTTTAAATAAAGCAGAAAAAATGAAGCATGGGTAGGATGCTTATTATTGATCTCACAGATGTTTCTGCAATCTGCAGTATGAACATGTATGGATTACTGGTAAAACTGGAAAGCAAATTACATTTTCTTTTATCACTTTTAAAAATGAAGTTAGGGCTTATGAAAGGAACTGAATTCAGGCTCTGGGGACTTAACTTCTCTGTTTATCCAGGAAATAGATATTGTACATCACAAGCAGAGGCAGTGCAAATATTAAAGATCTCAAAGTTGTCATGCTGTCTATTTGAACTTCTCATTCTTCACTAACTCAAGAGGAAGTTTACTCTGTGCACAAACTTAATCCTTTGTCTTTCATCTGTAATGCATTAGTGAAGATGCACAAGCAATAATTCTGATGCTTGCAGTTCTATTGACAAAAGTTTTGTTCACTACAATCCAACTTAGAAATGTCAGCTTAATTTGACATTGTCTTTGTGGCCTGGATTGTTTTATGGATCCTTGAATATGAGTGTTCCTAATTTCTCGACTGTAACATAGCACCCATGTGCCCATCCTCTCAGAACTGTGTGTTTTCTGCTTTGTGTAAGTATTTTCAGACCCTACTGTGTTGACTGAAACATGACATATGCAAATGAGGATGCAGTATGTGATGAGTTAGCTAAAACCAGTATAATTTATCTTTTTACTGTCTTTACCAAAAATTACTTGCAAGGCAAAGTATTTTTAGTATGGATTGTGCTTTAGGCCTGCAGGTAAGACAACTAAGTAGTATGCAGAAGCAAGTATTGATTAGATAGAAGGACATTTTTGCTCATCATAACGTCATGCACTGAATCTAAGGGAGTTAGTTGAGCCTAGAAACTTAATTCATAAACAGAAGTAAGAAAGTTTCTCTCTGTAGCACCAGGAAAAGGGGAAGAACAGTAGCTTTCTTCTCCTGTTGATGACTATAATGCTTTAATTGATAATTACTGTTTCACTGTAAGATTTTCCTGCCAGTTTTGTACTGCCTTTTACTGCTGCTATTGGAGCAAGCTGCTGTGGAACAAGAACAAAGTAAATAAAGCCACGTGCAGAAGAAAGACTTGATAGGATTTTTTGTTAGGAATATTTTTAAAATTGGGAATAAGTGCCTATTGAAGCTGGAAACACTGAGTTAGATGTCACAATATGAATTTGATTAAGCAAGAACATTTTCTCTTATGTAATGTCTGTTATTTACAGAATCACAGAATGGCTTGGGTTGGAAGGGACCTCAAGGATCATGAATCTCCAACCCCATGCCACATGCAGGGCCACCAACCTCCCCATTTAATACTAGACCAGGCTGCCCAGGGCCCCATCCAACCTGGCCATGAACACCTCCGGGCATGGAAGGAGCATCCACAGCCTCTCTGGGCAGCTGTTCCAGCACCTCACTACTCTCACTGTAAAGAACTTCCCTCTGACATCCAACCTAAATCTTCTCTCCCTCAACTTAAAACCATTTTTCCTTGTCCTGCTGTTATCTACCCTTCTATGTGTTTTCTGAATCCTCTCCTATCACTTGCTGTACTTTAATGCCAGCTGATTTTTCCTAGCCTGATTTTTAAAAGCTTTTCTAACGTATGTCATGTAGTACTGCATTTTACTGCCTCAGAAAAACTAAGCTGCAATTTTAACGGTAACAAAAAGCTTTATGATTATAGAATACCCTGTTTGAAGTGCATGATACATCACTTCATATTCAAGGAGAAGGTATTTAGAATTATAAAGTTAAGGTTTTTCCTCTGACATAACAAAGGACTGTAATACTGATTTTTAAATTTTTAAATTGCACTTAAAACTTGTAACATATGAGCAGACAGATCATCTATCAAGTGTTGCTAACTCTCTAGATACAACCTAATATTCCTATCTCATCTCTGGTGCTTGGAAATGCAAGCAGAGAATCTTGTTTTTTAGAGAAAGTGGGTGTGCATTCTCTCTCTTGTTGGGATTTAAGTTCATGGGGAATTTTGTACTTGTAATTGGCGGGGATTAGAAAAATTGTGTTTAAACCAGAATATCTTCAAATTGTGTTGTGCTTTATGACCTGAGGAGGTTAGCATCATTAATGGTCAGTTTAGTTCACAAAGAACCTTCCATAGAAAAAGACTGTTTTATTCATAAGGTTCTGAACAGGTGTTATAACATAAAACTGTTACATCAGTGACACTCCAGAGCATGTGAGTAACAGTGCATCCTGCTGCTCCCTGGAGGTGTTTGAAGGACTTGTCAGTGTGATGCTCAGGGATGTGGCTTCGTGTGGGGCTGTCCAACCTTTGGGCTTGCCAGGGCTGCACTGAGTGAAGAGCACTTGTCATAGGCTGCGTTTCTGTAGGTTGCTCCAAAAGCAGAGCCTCCTACTTATTTGCGTGGAAACTACAGCAGTTACAAAGAGCACAGTGACACTATTTCATAGAGCAAATCTTCAGCTACATTATTTTTCAACATAATCCACTGTTAGGTAGGCATTTTTGCCAATGATGAACAAGAGCTTGCATGCCATGCTTGTGAAGGCCTGCACCAGCAGAGGTGACCACTTTTGCTGTCTCCACTGCTGAAATGCATCACCTACCCTGACTGTGCTGACATCCACATCAGGTCTCCATCAGTGTTCAGCAAGCATCGAGGAATGTCACCAGGTGCCATTTTTTCCACATGGGTAATTAGTGACACACCTTTGCTTGATGCACATTTTCATGTCAGATACTATTTTATCAGACTGCCCCTCTGCTACTATCTGCCCCACAGCAAGAAAATGTAACAGGATATTGGTGGGAAGATTCAATCTCCACTGCCTTACCACCAACATCTGCCTCTGATCATACGGGCTAACGTAATAAAACAGGAGGCACTACTTTTAGAGCAGGCCTCATGGATTATGTAATATAATTAATGATTATAAGCAATAAAACATTTTTTTTCATATTTTTACTTAAAAAAGGAGAGCAACAAAACAATAAAAATAGTGGGATGTTTTACCTTGTTTTTGTGTAACAAATGCATCA